AATATATCATAACTTTTAATTTTCCTTTTGATATAAATTAAATTTCTTTTAAATGTGTTAGGAATTTGAACTCTCAAATAAGTTCTGTGATTTGAGTACCCAGTTCCTAGAGGTTATTACCTCTCTACCCTTTGAAGCCACATTAAAACATAATAATTCAAATTTTGAATAATTGAGCGAGAGATCTCATGCCTTTGAAAAATAGTAAGATTTCTTGGTTTATTGGTTCTGAAAGGTTGTTTTTTTCTTCTCTATTTCTAAGTCTATCCTAGAGCCCTGGGATTTCCTGGTGGTCTTCCATCCAATCACTAGGCAGATCCTATAGAAACATGGCTCTTACTCTTTCCTTCGGTTCTGGAGGCTGACATAGCAATCTCTCATGATCAAGAGAAGGAAACAAAACATCTAAGAAAAAAGGAGAGTAGGCTTACATAGGTACAGCTAGCGTACCAGTTGTACCCTTTCCTGGACCAGGAAGCTCTTCAGACAGTCACCAATCCCCTGGTCACCTCATGATTCGATAAATATAATGTGCTCTACATGGAGCTGCCCAGAAGCTATAGCTGGTCCAGAATACAGCAGCATGGCCAGTGATAACTCACTGTTCTGGTTACTAGTTGGCTTCAGGTCTAATTCAAGGTGCTGGTTGTGGCTTAGGGTTTGGTTATCTGAGGGACTGCTTATCTTCAATTGTTTGATATAATCAAGTAGGGTTGGGTACAATCTGGGTCCCATCCATGTCATCTCATGGGAACTAGCCCCTGCCCCCGGAATGATATTCCCTCAGAAATTCTATTTATTTATTTAAATTTATTAGCCACTCAACTCCAATAGATTCTTATGCAGCCCCCCCCCAAGATGTTCCAGAAAACCTGTTTTTTTTAATCCCATTTAAAAAAAAAAATATCCCAGGCCTTGGGATAAGGTAGTTCTGGAGCCCCTTCTGCTTCAGTTTATTTTTGTTTGGCTTAAGGCTGGGTGTTTGTTCTTCCTGCCAGCTGTGTTCTCTTTTTATATGTGTAGTTTTTTCTTTTACCTGTAAACCACTCAAAGTTGTCAAGGAATTGAATGGCCTCAAAATTGGGTTAAACAAATAAATAACTCAATTTAGTGTTGGGTATGGAGCCCACCCCCACCAGCAAGAAAACTGGCTGTCTAGTTGACAGACATAGATCCAGGGTCTGGACAGTTTTGTTTTTTTTTTGTCTGCGCTCAGTCATTGCTG